CTCGCACGGCTGTGACATCCCAGATGGGAATTACCCCGCCCTGCTCCGGACAGGGAGTGCACTGAGAGCGGCTGCAGAGCTACTGATAAATAATAATAAATAAAAAAAAAAATCTCTACCTACCCCCTTGTCTTTCCTTTGCTTAAATCAGGTCATGTCTGGAAGACAAAAACACTGCTTGGGAGTCAGGGTTTGGAGCGATACAAAGGGGAGTCTTGTCTGAAAGGCCTGGCCGGGAGTCAAAGCGGCGCGGCGGTCGCAGTCCGGGCTGTTTGCACAGCAGCCACTCCGAAATCGTATTTCACTGCAGCAGCAGAGAGTCTTCATCGGGTTTCTCCAGATTTGGGCTCGGGTCTATTTCTCGCTGCAAGGTTATTAAAAACACTTGAACCTGAAACAGACTCATTGTGTCCACACGTTTGCTATTTATTATTATAAACAAGGGTGTCAGGGCCATTAAAAATAAATCCAAACCGTAAAAAACGAGCAAAAAATACAAGGAAATGAAATGATTGAAAACACCCATCCCAGCATCCAGGGCTGACAATTCCCACTCGCAGGAATGCCTCTGTGCTGGAGAGCGGGAAAATAACTTCTCGTTTTTCTTTTCAACCAAACTGCATCCCTTTCCCAGCTGGGGAAGCCAAGCTGAGGGGAATGGAAAGAGGAACAGATCCAACTCCCAGTCCTGGATCCAACCGCTCCTGGACTCTGACTGGGATCGGTGCCGGCTCATGTTTGCTCCCACCAAGGGATGTGAGTGTGGCATCTCGAGGCACATCACCCGCTGCAAACTGGCCACCAAGGACACACCAGGACATTCCGTGTGCCCACAAGGGTGTCTGCAAACCCCAGCAGCTCCTCGGAGCCGGGTGAAGCTCCACAGCTCCAGCTGGGCCGAGCCAGAAACGCTGGGCGAGAACATCAGCAGAAACCCACTGTCCCCTTTGAAGGGCTCTGGGGGTGCCTCTGTGCCCCCAGCAGAGCAGCCTGGGAGCAGGTCCTGAGGTACTGGCTGTTCTTCTCCCAGCGGGAGGCAGAGCCAGGATGCACAGAGGGGATCAACACTGGGATGCAGGATTACAGAGGATGCAGAAGGAACAGCATTCAAGAACAAAACCCCAAAAATCCGTGATTGTAATTGAATTGTGGTAGGGTCCAGCTGGGCACACCTGGGGGCTGAATGGTTGGGAAAAGCCACTTCATCACAGCACTCCTTTTAAAGCATTAACAAATGAGCAGAGAAGCTGCATCCTGCTCTCGTTCACACCAGGACATGTCAAAAACATAGGTGTTATTGTACACAACACTAAAAGCGGTGCTTGTGGCATTACAAGTTAGAATAGTTTCCAAAAGCAAGATCTCTCAGCTCTAGCATGGGAAGACATCCCAGTCAGTGCCAGTCCCAGGGCCTTGCTGGTGGCTGAGACTCTGAGGCAAGAAATGGCACGAGCCAAGGCACATGTCAGCACGGCTGCTTCTCCAGCTGATCCGATAATCTCATTAAAAACATCACTTGGAGATTTTCCCCTTCCACACCCAGGGCAGTTCCTGCAGCCGCCTCACCCTCTACGGACAGACCCTGCAGCTGCTCTCCTGCCTCCAGCCCCACACCAGCCCCACGCTGCTCCCTGCCAGGCCCATCAAACACGTTTGGCTTTCACTGATGCCAAGGCAGGACCAGTCGGCGCTGGGGCACACGGGGCAGCAGGCACTGAGTGCCCGGGCCACAGCTCTGCCCACTGAGCACTGCTGCTGCCAAGAGAGTGCAGGAGCTTTTCAGAAGCAGCTGGTCAATTTGGATTCTGTGTCCTTCAGGTGATCTCCATGGAGATAACAGGGATGGTCTTTGCATCCGTGCTGAATGCACTCACTCATTCTGCCCTCAGACAGGCACCGCTGGGCTCTGCTCACGCCGGCCATCCCCGTTTGAGGTGAATCACTGCTGGACAGACAGATGGTATCCCCAGCTCCAAGGTGCTGCCAGGACAGGGCACATGGACACCCTCAGCCAAGGGAGGCAGGTCCAGTGGGACCAATCCCTCCTCAGCCGCGTGCCAGCCTGGTCCTCGCCTCGTCCCCCCGATGCTGCCTCAGGGCTGTCCCACACTGTCCCACAGCACAAAGGAGATGGATGGAGGCAGGTCAGGAACAACATGGGAAGACAGGAAAAGTGTAGGGTAGAGACAGATAGCTCTGGTCTTGGATTCACTTGGAGCAGTGCGATGGGGATTGTACAATAAAAGTCAAACGTGGGGCTTCAGCAAGAGTCATTCCAGCTCAAACCCTGAAAATTTACAGGTTATAGTTGCACATTTCTGCCTTAGAAAATTTCATTGCTTGTAAACAGAGATAACTGATCTAAAGCACAGCAGGTGAAGTGACAGTAAAACACCTCACTCTGCCAAGCTGTTTTAAAAATCTGATTTCCTAAACTTCTTTTCTTATTATTTTTACAGGTAATGCTACACCTCAGGTCAAACACCATGAGGCATCAGATGGACGGATTTGACCTGCAGGTCACTCATAGGCTCTGCAAACACCCCAAAACCTGGCAGGCAGAGGCAGGACCTGCCTCCATGGGCAGGAGCAGATGGCAGGGAGCAGAGCAGCCACTGGGAGCCCTGCCTTCCCCTGGGAACACCGTTCCTTAATTAAGGGCCCTTTTCCCTCACTGCTCCGCAGCAGGGGTGATTTGGACAAATCTGCCCTGGCCTTCTCAGGTTTGGATTTTCTGGCTGTCAGTAAATGAAATGATGGCCCCAATTTCAGGACCTCCTGTTCAGCGCCCAATACAGCAAACATCTGCCACGGTGGTATTTCTGGGTTTTTCAAGGAGAGCTATAAATAAGTTCTGTGTTTAGCAGTTCACTATTTCAGAGAGTGTTTGGCTGGGCAGACTGTGCCCAGTAAGGCTGCCAGGTGCTGGATGAAGGCACCACCTTACACCAACCCCTTCAGCCTAAATGTCAAAATTCATTTTGTTAAATCCAGCCTGAACACCTGGATTATTTTGTTAAATCCACCCTTTTTACCCATGCCCTTAACACCTGTGGCTTTCAAACCTTTCATGCTAAAAAACTCCTCCATAAGGTGAACTCCCCCTCTGCATCTCACTCTGAGCAGCTCTCCAGGGATCCCGGGTAACAGGAGACCCACAGCCCCAGGACGTCTCCTCAGGTTTTAATACAGCCACTCTAAAGGAAGGAGGCTGAGCTCACCTGCTGCTCTCACTGCAGGCACCAGCCCTGGGGTGTGAACTCAGCTCCTGGAATCTGGCCCCAAGACACTCTAATCCAAGGAACAGCATCTGCCTCTGTAAATAACCATCCCGCACCTCCAGCAGGACCTGGCTGTGCTGTAAAACACAAGCAGTTTGGGGCTAAAACAGCCAGGTCTGGGAGAACCAAAGCACTAAAACCTGATGAAAATGATGGAAAGCATTAGAAGGATCTTGTTTCACAGCAGTGAGAGACCAGAGGGGGTCATTTCTCGTCACTCATGTTCGAACACCAAAGCTCATGGGTGGCATTAGCCACATTTCAGGAGAAGAACCACACATCAAAAACTCACTGTTTTTTTTTAATACAAGTATTAATTAAAACCATGGTTCTACACGGTAGAGTTAATGAAATCCTCCCCTTCTGGCAGGCCTGCACAAGCCAAAACCAAGCTTAAAACGAGTGGACAGTGACCCTTCACAAGAAGGGACGTTGAAAGAGTTTTTGTTGCACTTGTGGGGCAAGGGGAGGGGAAGGGACACAGGCCCCAGGACTGTGCTTTGCTGGGAAGCATGACGACATCCAGGGAAGGAAGCGAACACTCTCAGCCTTCTGGCCTAAATTATCTGCTAACACAAATAATCAAATTCCAGGGACCACACTGCTCTGGCGCCACTAAAACAAGGGGGAGGCCCGGCCCCAGTGCTGCGTGAGCAGGTGGCAGCCTGAGCCTGACCCGCTCGGGATACTCAAGTGCGATGTACAAAATGCTGGTGCTCTCCAAGGAAGCCAGCAGCGCTCACAGATCGTGGGAAGTTTTTAATGGCTCACTCAAGGCAAGGCCTCTAAAATGTTTATATTCATATGTACATGTTGGACAGCCACTCACTCGGTCTCAGCTGGAAACCAGTCCAAACAGCTGAGAAACATCTGGCTGCTAACCTTGGACAGCATCTAATCTGGTAGCCCAGGGATTTAAGAGGTCTCTTCAGAGGGACAGAAGTTTGGCAGATCCTTCCCGAGGTCTCTGTTCTGCTGCGGCTGTTCCTCAAGTCCCACTCACTGCTCTGGGATGACACATACGGCTGATGTACACCCCGATCCCACTTACAGCACCCGAAATGAGTGCACAAAGCTGCAATTAGACGCTGCTCCTAATGGCCAGGAACACTCCTGAAGGTGTGGGACTGTGTGTGCTCCCCCTGTCTCGCGGGGAATCACAGCAGCTCGTTGCCAGCTCACCAAACCAAGCACCCCTGCCCTGCCCCAGCCCACGTGTGAGCAGCACCAGTCACCAGCCTTCCAGCCTCCCCTCCGCTTGTCTTCTCTCTGCCTCCACTTACTACCAACAAACCAGCCCCAGAAAGCCCCCACCACCAGGCAAACAAAATCCTCCTCTCTGTAGATCTGCAGACCACGATCAGGCCAATGAGGAACACGTGCTTTTAAAGCAGCTCTACACAAAGAGCGGGGAGGGGAAACGGCCTCGTCCTTTCTGATGAAGATGGCTCAAGGTTTACATCCCTTTTCCTTCCAAAATTCCTGCTTGGTTGTTTTTTTCCTCCCAAAGAAACTTCAGTTTTGACTATCCTGAAACATCCTTTGGTGCGTGGAAAGCTAACAAAGACACCATAATAGAGGTTGAGCCATACAGAGAGCATTGGACATTTACTCTGCCCTCCTATCACCTGTGAAGGCTCTGCAGGGTTTTCCAGACATGTCAGGGCAAAGCCACCAACAACCTGGCTCAAGAGGCACAAAATTAGGACAGGACCCACATTTCTGAAAACCCCTTGTAGGCTTTATTTAAAAAGAGATAAGGATGAAAAAAGGTGACAAGATACTTAACAGATAAAATGCTGAGGATCCAGTTTATCTCCTTATCTTCCACATCATCTTCTGCTCTTTACATTTTCCCTGATGTCTCTCACATTTGTTGTCACAAAAAGCAAAGGCACAAGCACTAGGAATGTAGCACCAAGAATAGAGGACGAGGAAGAAGATGCTCAACAAGGGCTAAAAATGCCTCTTTCCAAACAGAGGCTGAGCATGCTGGCTCTGGTCCAACAAAGCACTTAAACATTTGCCTAACTTAAATTTGCCTTTACTGGGGCTCTTCACAGGCTTAAAAGTTCAGCAAATTCTCCAGCAATGTGCTATAGTATGACCAGAGAAAACGAGGAGCTATTGAGGGACCAGAATCTAAGCGAGCAGCCAGGTTAGTGTGCGTTGGGGGAGCACACCACCCAAAGATTAATGCAACTTCAGGGCAATTCCACTGACTTACAGGGCAATTCCACTCTTAAGCCTTCAGAAAAAGCTTATTAAATATAAAACAATAAGTAAAAAAACTTAGACATTAAGAATATCAAATTCTCTTCAGCTTCTTTCAGCTCAAGGGAGGTAGAGCTTGACACAGACACTTATTTACAGGTATGTGCAGAACTGGAACCCCTTTGTTGCAGGTAAGTCGGTGCCAGCTTGAAAAAAACCACATTGAACCCACTGTGCTGTTTCTTGGTGTAAGAAACACTGTCCTGTGGGTAAAGCAGCGACCTCAGGTGCCAAAGGGCCAGTTCCCACAAACAGCAAGGTCAGCCACAAACAGCTGACAGGCCAGCAAGACACGACAAGTATTTGGCAAAGGAGCAGGAGCACATCCCACTGTGCATCCCTGCGGGGTTTGAGTCCCTCACACTGGAACTGACCCAGCTTAACACTGTCCCTCTGCCCTTGCCTGCCCGGCAGTGCCACCAGAGCTCCAGGACTGGGGCTCTGAGATGACACACTGGGTCAGTGTGTGCCCAAGGCTGACGGGCACGGCCGTGCCCACCCGCCACTCTGCCTGCTCCGTGTCCGTGTCTGACACTGGGATGAGCCGCACACAGCAGGGGAGTCCTGGACGGCGGCTGATGACACTTTCTGGCTTAAAAATTATGGCTCTAATGATAGTGGAAGAAACTTAAATTCTAAATATAAAGCACTGCACGGAGTTGTAAGAGAGCAGAAAGCACATACAAGCGCACGCTCCCTACATACACACACGGGGCTTAATTACAACACAGCAAGAATCAAACAACCATTAGTCTTTATTAACAATTAAGATCTCACTGAGCTGCTGGTATTCCCCCAGCAAGTTAATGCCTGTACAGTGAGACAGTCACGATAAACAGGCTTTTAAAACTGAAATTGATTCCGGATAAATATGAAAAGTGGTTCCCACAAGAGGACGTAACGTTTAAACCAAGCAGCCTGAGCCAGCCCCAGCCTTGGGAAGCTTTCTGGCTCCCTCTGCCGTCTCCGAGGATGAGCTGAGGCAGAGGCTCACTCCACATCCCCGGGAAGCACGGGCAGGTGAGAATCCAGCACCCTCAGTACAGGGATGGCTCACGGCCCCTCTGCTGGCGGCAGTGCAAGGTGAGCTCCTGCTCAGCCCAGCCCCAGCACCTCCAGCAGCACCTGCTCCAAGGAACAGCACTTATTTTATGGCCAATCAGCTTATTTTATTTATTATCCCTTCATACCCTTCTCCAAAGAGACACTGGTTCAGGACACAAAGTGAAGGTCAGCGGGGATCAACCAAACACTTTGCCTTTGCACTGCTGGAGTTCACACAAACACAGGTAGAGCACGGTTTTGTCTCCCCACCTCATTTCCAAAGCACCAACAAGCACCGGGCTGTGGGATGACCAGTCACTTCCATGGTGCAGGTCACATCCCCTGACAAAGCCACCACACACAAATCCATTCCCTGGGCGTTATTTTTCCACACCAGCCCTAACTAGTTGAGTGGAACAGCAAGGGAGCAGTGATGTGTCCAAAGCATACAACTCCCAGGGCAGAACATTCACAATGAACCAGTTTTGTTTTTTTTAAAAGCAGCACCCAACTTTGTATGGCAGATGCTGTCAAGTGACTCTTGCCAGCACAGTTCCCAGCCAGGATGGAATGCTCTAACTTGTACACCTTGCAAAGCAAACCAGACACTTGCAAGGTTTAAAAATCATTACTTGAAGTAGGAAGGTTCAGGGAGGCCCCAAGCATGCACCAACCTCCCAAACAGGGCAAGGACACTCTGAAAACCAGAGACAAGCAAGCAGGCCACTGTCATTATCCACTGTAATTGTTCTGATGCCCATTTACCATCTTTGACATGAAGCTATTTTAAATAAACACACACACATGACACTGACATAGTATTAGTCACATTGTCTTCACAGACACCCTCTGGGCTGCCCCAGAGGGGGAAGTTTTCACTCCAGGCCAGAAACCAGCAGCAAGTTTCACAAAGTTTCACAAAGATCATTCCCTTTTTCATTCCCAACCCAGGCAGAACCTTGTTTCACCCCAACACTGCAGTGAGTGCACCAGGACCTTCCAGCAAATCCTCTGAAATGGAGACACTTCACACTTGGAAAAGGCCAAAATTTCACAGCTCCGTTTTCACCCAGATTTGGAGAGAAGCTCAGCTTGTTGCACTTCGCTATTTGAGTGAAACCACTTAAAACTTCGGGTTGTGAAATAGCCCTTGACCTTGACAGACAGCATAACATGCAACTGTAGAGGATTTGATTTCCTGGAGACAACAGCACAGCAAGGCCACGGCACTGACAGCACACGGAGCCAGGAACTCCCTCTGGCAGCTCCTTGGCACATCCTGACCCTACCAACTGCCAAGGCTGGGGCAGCCTGAGGTTTAAACCAAAAGTACAGATGCTCCTTGGCACAGCAGCAGCAGCTGGATAGAGACAATTGCCTTTTGCCACCAGGTTACATTCTGTCAGCTAAACGTGATCTGCAGGAAGATACTTCCAACAAATCAAGAATTCCATAAGGGATCAAAATCTCTAAACATAAATACAATTAAAGCCTTCTAATATTAATGCACACTTTTTATTATATTAAAATCAGGCAATGGTCTGATACAATAAAAAGGCTGCTTATGGAATACTGTTATGTTAAACTTTCAGTACAGAGGATGTTAAATCCTTACAACTAATATTTTCCTCAAAAGTTAATGGAAACATCAATTGTTCATTGACTTGACAGCTGCTGCTTTAAAATGTGTTTATTTTTACTCTTTTCTTTTTTTCCTTTTTTTTTATTCTTTTTTTTACACAAACACTGAATTTTTCATAAAACTTAGGACACACTAGGTTGGTTTCTGTAAGCTTGCATCCACATTGCAGCAGTTAGTGGTCCAAAACAGTAAACCAGAAAAGGCAGTGATTTGCCAGGATGCAAAGCCAGTAAAGGTCCTTAATCTGCTGTACAACACTTCCCCAAAATCTTCACTGAAGAGATTTCTAAGACTTACAGAATACTACTAAAATCTACCACACGGATTTGATTTGTCTGTAGTTGTCACATCTTTAGAAGGGCCAAAACCGCAAGTGCAACAATTTGTTAATTAACATTCTCGGGTCAATCCAAAGCACCAAAACACAACGATTTGAGTGTGGCTGGAGTGTGTTGAGAATCTCTTATGTGCGGAGTTTCCCCCATTCAAGTTTGGCAGCAGAAGATTTGGGCAATCCTGGTAAATTACTGCTCTTTTCCCCACGTCAAAGCCTATCTAACAACACGGCCGTGGCCAGCTTGGCGGAGTGGCAGCAGTGCTGGAGGGAAGGGAAAATCCAAGTTTGCGAGCAGAACGGATACTCTTGTTTTCCAGGCTGGTGAAGACTAAATTTGTTGCAAAACCAAAATGATAAGCGAGAGGGAACAGGTCAAGTTATTGCCCCAACACTTACCCCTGGGCCAGGGGCGAGAAGAGTCACCAAAAGGGGCAAAAAGAAAGCAGCACCCCCACTAAAAAGAGGGGAAGAGGGAAGAGATTGAAAGAACCCTGAATCCCTCACCCAAAGCCCACGTCACTGGTGAGGGGGACCAGGAAGAGAAATACAATCTATGCCTTGGCCAAAGGAAAGAAGGAAAGCTTGCCCCAGATTATCAGGGCATTTAAAAAAAATAATAAAAACCCAAAAACGACCACAGTCACATTCAGCCTTTACTAGAGCGAGCACAAAGGGAGGGATGACTGAGGTTAGCACACATCCCCAGTAGTAGTCCATACAGCCCAGTGTAGCACTGGAAGCAAAATCCTTTGTGTCTACTCTAATAAATAGCCCTGAGCTTCGACTCTATTGCAAAAGACAGAGAAAGAAAAAAATAACCCAGGCCAGACACACAGCAAGGTGATTGTGGGATGGATCCTTTCACAGTTAAGTTGGATGTGCCACACTGGTCTTGACAGTAATAAATTTAAATAGACTTTTCCTGATACCAGAAGTTCAGCTATGTGGACAGTGGTTACACGACAGGATTATTTGTTATAGCACAACTTATATTTCAAATGAAAAAAAAAATTAGTATCATTTACAGTATCTCAAGAAAAACCTCCTTTGAATGGGAACTTCCTTTCCAGTATTTTGAGGTCTACAAGATGCATCTAGAAAATTTACTACTGTGGAAAATGAAGACAGCTTAAATTGAATAAGGGGGGCATGTTGGTTTTTGTTGTTTGTTTTTTTTTTTTTTTTTAATTAATTGCTGTAACATTGTCCTTCAGGTGGCTGAGGAAGTTTCATATTTTCTTTAGACATCATTAGACGCCGAAGCTCTTGCAGAACAACTTTGATACTATAAGAATTCTGCCATTTTGCTAGGACTGATATGGCTCTGGGGTCCACCTAAAATAGACAAAAAGACCATTCCTGTCAGAATTGGCATGTTGGATACACTTAACTCCACCCACACCCCCAACTAAAGATCCTACATGAAATCTGAGTGGGAGAAAGCAAAGAAAGCAAAAGCAAGTGTTTTCCCTAAAAGCACAATAAATCTCCACTTGTCCACTTCCCTGCTACCCCCTTTCCTCCTCCTCGAACAAACAGCACCACAAGCAGTGAGTAGTTAAGCAAGTTACAAGTATAAACAAAGCATTTGAAACTGCACATAAAAACAACATTAAAATGAACAAAAGCCAAAAACTTACCACTCCATTAGAACTATTTACTCCATTCATATTAATTTTTGTTACAAATCTTACAAATGGAGGTGCTTCTGGATACTTAGGCCCGCATTCTATTTTAAGGCTGTATATTCTGTTTTCATAAATTGTCTGAGGGGAAAAGAAAGGGGAAAAGAATTACATCAGGCAGTTCAATTAGCATTTGGTTAAAGCAGTGGCTACTTTAGGAATATGGGAATTACTAAACATAAGGGCAGGCAGTTAGATACTATGCTGGCTACCTCTGTTTTGGGTTCATTTTATAATATTCAGAGTATCAAATGTTTCTGCTTTAGGCTAATAAACTACTGCTCTTTCAAGCATCAAATCTTCATATGAGGAAATGGAGCTGGCATTGCTTCCCAGTCATCAGCTGAAATGATTTTTTTTAATCATCATATAGCTCAGATATAACTTTCCAACCAATCTTTATAAAGCAGCTTTGTTTTATCAGTTTCCTAATCCCACACACTACCTTGAAACCAAAGGCCACAACTTTAGCTTCTGATCTACAGTTGGCCCATCCTAGAACTGCTCTTGGAAAGAATTCTTTGGTCATAAACCTGCTGGTTCTCAGAAGGGGGAAGGCTCCAAGATTTGACATGTTTGAAAGGACATCCTGATCCCAAACAGCACTATCACTTTGTCCCCACAGCAGGAACACTGTCCCACTCCCAGGTAGCAGAAATCCTGGATCCTGGGTTTGTAACTAACTAATCTGTGGGTACAAAGAGAGACAAATGTAACATGGCTACACTGATTCTTCAATATTTCAAAGTAATTAGAAGGGACAACAACAGTTAATGTCACTCTGCATTCTGAGAACAACTATTCTTGCTGTGCTGCTCTGGCATAGCTGGCCCAGAGCTCCAGCTGAGCTGGGCAATGTAGGCAGCTGGCAGACTTACACAACAGGAACAGGATCACCACGGGGAAGTTTAGGCAGACAAGCTCTCCAGATTTAGAGCTTCTGACACAATTTCCTGCACCTTCAACATTGCAATGAACATTAAACTCACAGGGCAGTGACCATGAACAAAAATCCAGGTGAGCCCAGAAGCAGTTCCTGCTCACCCGTAAGCACCAGGGCATGATGGTATCACTGGGACTTCAGAGTGGCTGCCCAATGTCCAAAACCTTCCTAGTGGAAAACTCTGTGCAATCCCTTCCTAGGCCTGGTTTGACTCTGAACAGCTTAATAATTCCCTTGGTATTAATGAATGTTTTGATGTACACCACTACCAAAATGTAAGAACTCACTCCCTGATCCAGCTGCTGCTCATCTGTGCCAAGGAAGTGTCTTCAATCCCTCTTGCACCACCAGCAGCAGGACCAGCCCTTGGCCAGTTCTGGCACCTTCTGGCTGCTCCTCAGCCACACAGCCTTTCACATGCCCAACCAGGGCAGGGGCAAACTGGGCACTGCCACAAAGTTTTGGGGGAAAATAGTCACCCATCAGCTCTGCTTGGCCTGCCCAGATCTCCTGACTGTGTCCCTGAGCTGCCTTGTGCATGGAGCAAGGAACAGCCCCAAGCTTTGTGCAGGGCTTTGGGGTCTCTGCAAACACCTGCCCCACGCAGGAAGCCTTGGTTGTGAACAGCCAGTGTAAAACATGTGCTGATAAAGCTGAGGCTTTGGCAGTGCCACTGTTTCTAAGCAGCCTGTATCAGCAAGGTGAATCCCTGGCTGTGGAACCATCTGCGCACAGCCTGGAAAGGAGAACACGCTCCGTGTGTGGCCGCAGGGACACTCGGGGCAGCAGCACATGGGAAGCTCTGCACCACCATTTCCCCCCCCAAGATTCTTCCATCTGCTACAAGCATGACTGCTTTCTGCCCAGATGGAGATAGGACTTTCCACAGCCAGTATTCCCACATCCTATTAAGAAACAAAATGGTTGTAACTGAGGACGAACAGTGCTAAAAGCAGGACAGCCACTGAGCAAACAAGAATGATTGGAAGTTCTCAAAATCTCTCTCAATACAGCCTGTTGCCTTCAAGCAATGAGCTCAAAAGAAGTCAAGACACTTCTGGAAAAAAATCTGTATTCCTAAGTGTGTCAGAAAGACAAGAGAGGCAGAACTGAATCCTCTCCTGTGATGGTCCTCTAGCCTTGGTTTGCAGCATGACATGAATGACAAACTTCCATCGCTGCTGGCAAGGCAGCACACGCCTGTTTGCACATCTCAGTTCCCATTTAATTCTCTAAATTAGATTTCAAGGTTGTTTAAATTTTCCATAAAGTGTATGCACACAGTGAGCTTTCTTCACAGCCTTAATGCAGGCTCATTAGCACTGTCCTAATGTTCTAAAATCAAATGCTGTTCTAGAAAACAATCTGTGCATATCATAAACAAATGAAATGATCGTGACTGGGGAGATGTTAACAAAGGCAGACAAGAAGTAAACAACACTTCTGGATGAGATGGAAAATGCTGCATGTGTAATGCCATTATAAAGTACATTCTTGTACAACCTCGTATGTCAGAAAAGGCACTGACAGAATGGGAACACACAGGGCAGTGGCGTGACTGAAGGTCTGTAAAGATTTTCATATAATGACCCCTGAATTACTGAGAAGTGATACTGAGGCCAGATGTAGAAGACAACATCTGTTATTGCAGGAAGGAGAATCAGCTCCTTGCACTCCATGGAAAGGAATTAAGGAAACAGAACAGTGAAACTGGAGACAACAGACAGGTTCTGGTTTTAGAACACATGCACACGTACAACACACAATTAAGTCAAGTTCACTACTAGAGTGTAGACCCACAGTTTAGTAGGGCCTGGGGGGAGAAGAGAGAGCACAACAACACTCCCACAAAGACCAGTTGCGTTATAAGATGCTGCTTTGGGAGAGAACATTCAGAGAGGGAACTGAATTCATTAAAATTTGAGTTTCCTGAGTTAGCTGAAACTCTACAAGAGCAAGTCAGAGTTGCTGCAGTAAAAACCAACCCATAAACTCAACGAGGACCAGCAGAGAGACCAGCAGTGCTGCACAGAACATCCCCTTGTACCCACACGATCTCCACATGAAACCTCACTAGCTGAAGGATTTTAAACCTTGCAGTACTCAAGAGTACAGGGTACTAGAATACTGGGATCTCAAAAGTTGTGTCTTAATGGATCTGCAAATATAAAGCAGACATGTAACAGAACCAACCAGAGAAAGGCCCTAAAATATTCCAAATTATAAGCAAAAAGTAATATAGTACATGAAAACCATTATTATACAGAACTTAGAACTTCAACATAATTCACTTTATGAAGTGTTTTTTCACTCATTTGTCTTTTTGTTGTTGTACTTCAGTGGTTAAATTAGGAGAAAAAAAGAGGGAAGAAAAATAACTGTACTATTTTAGTATTTAACTGGATACTTACTCTTGGAGGCCCAATAATCATTCCTGTCCATCTTGTAAGTGTCATATCTTCATCATCTTCAAGGCCCCAGCTAACTGTTCCATCCCCTACTCCCTTCTGACCTTCTTCAAGTTCTTCCAAAAGACGAAAATTACGAGGAACTTTTACTCCTGAAACAATCAGAAAAACATTTTGATTTGAGAAATCTAGTAAAGAAACAAAGCTAGGGTAATTTCCCCGACACTTGTGGTCAGTGCACAGAAAACATTTTGGCAAAACCATAAAAATATGACTATTTTTTGAATGACAATATTTCAACATTATGAAAAAGCTATCCCATACTTAGCTTGGATTTTACAAGCAAAATCAAGGTATCCCCAAATAAACCTGCCAGAAGGCTGATAGGCCACATGTTATGGTAGGCAGTGAAATGAAAAGAAATCTGTTTCCTCAGATACACCTGGTATTATGGAGCTCTAATTTAGCACTTGTGTATATGATTTATAGCATGAAAATTTATAAGATTCTCCAAAACTACACCATGAGAGGCTTCATATCACTCGACTGACTCAGAGCTTTTAAAATACCTTTTAAAGCAAATAAAACTCTTTCATAACATTAGGAGGTTAATCTGAAGTTAATTGAAGTGGGCTTTGTCAGCAGCAATAGCATCCTTTGTACTTATGACCTCCACCACCAAGGAATTAAAGCACTTCTTAACTGCTGGCACATTTATCCTCAAAACACACATTAATGGAAAACAATGGCACCGAGAGCGTAGGTGGCATATCCAAGGTCACACACTAAGTCAGTGGTGAAGGAGGATCTCAAACCCAGGCCACAGTGGACTTAATGACTCGCTCTTCTTCAAGGTATCTGCACCTCAGGCATCACAGAACAGAAACACTTGAGGACACCTCTGCTCCTTTTGTTGTGTTTGTGGGGTCAGGTTTTGCTATGAGGGGGCTACAGGGTTGGTTCCTGTGAAAAGCTGCTGGAAGCTTCCCCCCATGTCTGATGGAGCCAGTGGCAGCTGGCTCCAGGATGGACCCACTGACGGCCAAGGCTGGGCCAGCAACACTGGCAGCACCTCTGGGATAAAATATTTAATGAGGGAAAACGTTACTGCACAAGAGCAACTGCAGCCAGAGCGAGGAGTGAGAATTGAGAGAGGAACAGCACTGCAGAGCCCGAGGTCAGTGCAGAAGGAGGGGCAGGAGGTGCTCCAGGCACCAGAGTGGAGGTGCCCCTGCAACCTGTGGGGAAGAGCACGGTGAGGTACCTGTGGCCCTGCAGCCCATGGAGGTCAGTGGGGATGCAGAGATCCACCTGCAGCCTGTGGAACAATGTGAAAAATACAGAGGATCTAAGGCATTGCAAAATGTAGCAGTGCTTAAAATTGAGTAACTCCAGTAGCATTAAAGTTTCCTTTAAATACATTAAGGACTTAAAGAAACTAAATGTCAGAGATGATTCTGCTGCAGAATCAGTGTGGTCCAAATTTCATTCACTACAAAGCATGCATGAAGGAAACCAAACCAGCAAATTACTACAGAAATCAGTTCACTGGCCAGTCTGACACACACCTAACGTGATCATGCTGTAGAACATTCTGAGGAAGCACAGTTCAGTAACACAGCTGCAGCAGCAGCATGATGAGGAGCCCAGACTCAGAAGAGCAGCATCCACAGACACCAGACCTACACTACCAAACCTTGTTCAGGGGCTGCTGAGCACGACTCCAGCACAGCTCCCTGCCAAATCCCCTCCCAGCCAGGCCCTGCTGTTACCATGGCTGCTGAGAAACACAGATCTTTGGCTGCAAAAGGAAATGAGTCAGTTGGGGCTGGTGAAGCCATCACCATGAGATTGCCCCGAGCACCAAACCCTGGGTGGTAACAGGACCTCCTGAGCACCACTCTCACATCCCCTGCACAATGAACTCCAGCATTTCCTCTCCCAGAAAGTCTTAAAAGTATGAAGTGTGTAGCCTGTGAACCTCAGGCATATGAAGGTTCAAGTATGCAGGTTATGCCTGACCCATGACAGACAATCCACTCCATTTTTAATTCTATTCCCACCACTCTCCACGCTGTAGTCTGGGGAGGCAGAGCAGCCCAGCTCCAGCACCGGGAACACAAGAGCTGGGGGACAAGAGAAGCAGATGGAGCAGGAGTTGAAGGACAAGGTGCCACCTTTGCTTACACACACCCCCTCTATTTCCCTATTTTTGCTGGAGTGGATGCACAGGAGAGCTGGTGATGGGGAATGATTCACAGCACGCAGTGCCCTAAGCCACTGTCTGGGCTTCAGCCCTGCCCCATGAAAGGAAGGGCCAGGGAAGAAGGGCAAGCAGAAGGTCCTTCTAGAGGGGGACTCCACCTTCAGTCTGACACAGCAGCTCTTCCACAGTGCAGGTGATGCCACAGAGGAAACTCTGTGGCTGTTACCAGATCCCCAGCCTGAGCCCCCCAACTCCAGTGATCAGCCTGAGCCCCTGAATACCTGCCTGGAATGTGTTACAGAGCCAAAAAAACACTCTTCCAGACCACAACATCACAATGCTTAACAAGCATCATCTCAGCCCTTCGGTCCTTGACTACAACCCTTCATATTTATCAGTGGTGCAAAGACAATTTACTGATATTTGCTCAGCCCAAACCAAATAACCCAGGAGGAATCAGCTTTATGGCAGACACAGGCCACACATCAAAGAAGGAAACCACAAATACTGCCTGTCCACCCTTCCTCTGAGCATCATGCCCCGTTCACTGAATCCCTGTGAAGAAAATTAAGTGAGCATGTAATTAAAAATGACATCATCATGTATATATTCAAGCAGGCCACAACCAAGGCTGAAAGGCAGCCTTAGTTGTGAGATTTGCTAACCAGAGCTAGGCTTGGCTTTACAACCTTACGGGAAGGCAAGGCAACTTTATTGCTGAGCTCTCTCCAGATACAGCTGCTCTGATTCAGCATGAATCCAGCATGAATCAGAGCCATAAAAGAGTCACACAGGACCTTACAGTTCTCTGGGAAGCCTGAGGTCTCCAGAGAGCTGGCGAGTCATATCGTGGGCTGGCTCCAATCACACGGAAAACGTTTCCATAAATGAGAGCTAATTCCACAGCAACTGCTCACTTGTGACCACTGCAGGGGCATGATGGCAAAGGGAGTGCCCAAGGGAAGTACATACATCGAGTTTTTATGCACTTTACAGAAAACAAGGTGATCATGGCAGATAATTGGTCACTTTACACCCAGTGACCCTGTCCAACAGCATCACTGCCTCCTAGAAATGCGCTAAAGCTCAGAGGTGTAATATGGAGGATCCTCACCTCAGCCACCACAGAAGGTGGTAATTCAGCTCCCTCCCTGACACATTCTCAGGAGATTCATACAGCAGAAGGAAAAATCACACATATGCATACAGAAGACTATGCTTTAAATAATTTCTAAAAAACCTGCCCTTAAGCAAGGCAGAATACAAGATCAGACTGACCCTTCTGGTCAGCCAGGAAAGATGCACGTGGCCATTAAGCCAAGCCCAGCTCCTCTTCACTTGCAAAGGCCTGGAGCACTCATGGTCCACTACCACATCCTGCCAGGACCTGAACCTCAGAACCCACATGGACTTTATCACTTGTGGTCCTACACAAATACATCATCATCATGTTTGCTGCCCACCAAGATTCCTAGAGAGTGACTGGATCTGTTCTAGGCACACACAGTATTTGCCAAATGATTTCCATGGCTAAACCATGGCAGATGCAGAGCCAGGAGATGTCCTGTGCCTGCTGACACAACCATGAGCTGTCTGTGTTCCCTCCCCCCACCCCCCAATAAATACCTTGCATAACCCTTTCAGTGTAGCAATGGAGATTTCCAAGGCAGCAACCAAACTAACCTGTTTTTCTAAGAGCCCTTCATTTAACACAAGAAAACCTACATGAAGTGAGAGCAATTAAAAAGTAATCAACTTGTCTAAAGTACTTTCAGTTATGCATTTTGTCTTTACTATGGTTCAAGATGACTCTCAAATAGCAGCTTCATTTGAAACAAAAATACAGTGATATCTCAATAACTGCTTCACTTGCAGCTTGTGCTGACCTCACAGAAACACTCCCAGAAATGGAGCTGAAAACATATTTCAGAGCAAAAGGAGGTATTTACTATTCATCACAACAGCTAAATCATAACTGTACTGACCAGGGAGATCTCCAATGACAGACTTGTACAGTCCTTCTGAAAGTTAACACCTTTCAGTAGTGTCCTTTGGTGAAGCCTCAACCCTACACAACAGTTCAGCAGTTACACAAAATTAATGAAATCACTTTATGGCAACTAAAGAGCAGAACTAAACCACAAACTGAGCTTTCCAGAAAGTCAGGAAATGTACTTTACACCTTGCAGATCTTAGTGTTGCAGTTAAGAAGCTGCTTGGTTTTGGGTGATGTGACTTCCTCCTCAGCCTTCAAGAGAATCAGGACCTTGTTTTCCTGGTCAGAAACCCCCCTGGCAGCTCACAACCCAGCTGTTTGCTAAAGCAATGAGTTGCAAGACAGAGCCAGCACACTGATATGGGGACAAAAGGAGTGTGACCAATGTCTGGTCAGAGTCTCACTAAGGGAAGAACAGAATTATTCCTGGAAGATGCTTAAATGTCAGCTTGGACTTTTAAAGAGCTTAAAGCACTCTCAGGTTTATCTTTTATCACAGCACTACTAAAGACACAGATACTCTTACAACAGTTTTAAGAGTGATTCTACCAGTCTGAGATTTTTCTCAAATTTACATTCCCATGAAGTTCACAGTACATTTGTACCAAGTTGAAAATGACACTTTCTCACAGACTACACTTTTTCATCTTTCCATTTTCCTCAGTTACACAGTGGAAGCAATTCCAAATCCAGAAGCCTCAGAAGCTGAGAACAGCACAATGAAACCAGGTGGGCAGGGTGCCTTGGGAGCAGATCCTCTTCTCAAGCATTTCTGATCAGTGTCAGTAGAACAAAACATACACCTCTCAAAAACTTCAAGAACACGTTTCTCTCTCCTTTCTAAAGTGAAATTCAATTACAAGCATTTCTCTTCAGGACTAAAGCACAGGCACAGGGCACAGCACACCTCAGCAAAGTACCTAGAAAATGCACTTCACTCTCATGGGGCTCCAAAGAGAGGAACTGTCTTTTGCTGAAGGTTTCTCAATATCTTCACTGATAACAAGCAATTTATCAAACTGGCCTTTATGGACAACTCTGCTTTCTGTACTAGTTCCTAGTTTACAGTAACTCAAGGGAGCTGAAATCAAACAGCTTTAAACACCTCTATTGCTTAATACATTAAAGGGCCTTCTGTTGCTTGTTTCTGTGTATTTAATATTCAGCTTTAATTACATCCTTTCCAATATATGTCTCATCTCTTTGCAAAGATTGCAACTGCTGCCAATTGGATAAGCTTACCCTTGCAGCACTGGAACTGTAAAAAGTATGTAAACATTCCCTGTCACAATGGTATATAAGGTTTCTGAAGTGATGGAATATTTAAAACTGCATAAAAGGCTTTCAGCAATTGTCACAAAAGCTTTCGGAACACAGGAACTTTACATTTCTTGCATCATCTTTACAGTCACAATTTCCACTCCGACGATGCAGGCAGGTACTGAGGTATTCTGCAGACCCAAAATAACTTCCTTGAAACAATCTGAGTGTTTTCTTTCTGTGTAAGCTTGAGTGCTGGTTCTACCTTTCAATACTTTAGGCAGGTCACTTGAAAAGAGATCACTTAGTCTGAGGCAGGCTGGCAGCACCACTCAGGTCTGAGGCCAAGCACAACTTTCCAGCAGCAGTAGAGTTAAAATCAGATGATTTCTGTGCTTGTATCACAGCTGAAAAGCAAACACTTCCAGTGCAGCTACAAGTGACTCTGGAAAGTAAGTCACCCTGGACTGGTGTCCTGGACCAAATCTTTACACTTCATCTCCCCAGGGAAAAACCCACCATTTCCTTTGGCACTGTGAGAAGAAATGGCTGGGACTGAGGGAGAGCTGCTCTCCTGCTGGCCCTCCTGCCACAGAGGATGGCTGGGTTTTCCCACATTCACACCACCCAAAGGTGAAGGCAGAGCACAGGTTTGCAGACAAGCCCTGAAGAGCAGGCGCTGGCACTGCTGGGCCAGGCTGTACCAGCACAGGCAGGATGTGCCCCCCAGGCCTTGCCCACACCCGGGAGGACAGGGCACAAACCACCAGGAGGGGGAAGCACAGTAACTTGGAAGAGTTAAAACACACCCTCACTACCTGAAAATCCCACCCTTCCCACCCCTCACCAAATCTGTCAGTATTGCACCTTCCATGATCCCCACCTGCTCACGTGTTTAATGCACTAATGAATACTTTTAAGTTCTCAGCCAGAATGAGGTTCTTCAAATATATTATGTAATTTGTACATGGACATGAAAATATGCAACTGAGTATCGTCTTGGAGGAGTTGTGAACTATTTACCTTTTTATTCAGCCTACTGCATCCTTCTATTACAGTACACAGAGCTCTGCGATCAACACCTCTAGCAGCTGCTATTACAGTCTATCTTATTTAAGAAGGCATAATTTATCTTCCATTTTCTCTTCAATTACTTTTCCCCTACCCTTGAGTATTTTACTTACAGGCTCAGAGGGCACTTGGTGGCTGCAATATTTCCTTTGAGATAAGAAAGGCTGCTGTCTGCTGTGCACTCCAAGGAGCCATCGTGGGGCACTTCCAGGGGCAGCTACACCTGTATCCTTCAATACACAGTTTATTCTTATTGTAAGGTCTCATTTGCTTTCCACAAGCATAACTTAAGAGTTTACAGTGATGTTATAGGGCCCTCAACAGTTACAAATATATATTTTTATTACACTGTACCAAACCTGATCCATGCTCTTCTCTTAGGAGCATTAAGCCACATGTATCAGCACTGTCATGGCCATGCACTGAATTAATCGTTTTTCCACAGTTCCTCACATTCTTTGAACGCATTAAATCTGGGCAAACCATTTTACTACTGAGTTCTTCCAGGTTGTTGGTAAACATGGTGTCTCAAAGCCCTGCAACATACCCACTAAACTAAATTATGAGAGAAAAGTGAGTTAAATGAGGTCATTAAACTCTTCCCAGGGTGAAAGTTAGGGAAACAGGATCTCACAGGCCAAGACAGCTGGATTTTTACCCATTATAAAACCTGAATCTGCAGGACAGCAACATGGAGCAAGCTACATAGGGTTGGGGTTTTGCCCTTATTAATTATGTCTACCTGTTTATTAGATACAAATATGTAATCTATCTACTTATCTAATTGCCAGGACTTTTTTAAGTCACAGGGACATTTGCAACCACTTCTTCCTCTGGGCCAGGAGCTGCTTTTGAAGACAGAGTGAGTATTTTTCATCTTCAATATCTGTTTAAGCTCCTTTGCTGAACACAAACTCAGGATATCACATATATCCCAGTGCTTTACAAGCAAATAGGAATACATTAAGATTTCCATGAAACAAGTATTAGCAAACTCTGTTTCCCAGATGGGTGAAGGCAGTTCTAAGGTACTTGCCCAAGTCTCGCAGTGATGGAGAGTGAGGAGGTGTCACCTCCAGGCCTCTCTGCCTTCAGTGCAGGGTTGGGAATGAAGAAACAACCTGCATTGCAGTGCCACTGCCAGCACCTGGACACTGGGATGTCCTTGCTGTCAGGAGAGGGAAATCTCCATCCTTTCCCAACACAACAGAACAGGGAGCGCTGCTGGGAGGGCAGCCCATGAGTTACAGCCCAAGCTCTCAGGCTCCCACCCATGGCAGCTGCTGCTCTGTATCCTGAGGGTCTTCCAGACTGAATTTTGGGGTTTTTTTGCACAAATCCAGTGTTCCTGCAGCATATGTTTGTAAGTCACACTCCTCATGATCAGCTGAGGGCTGTGCCCACACTGCAGGCACAGGACACCGAGGGCCCTGCTCCCACTGCCTGCTCCCAGCACTGGGGACACAACAGCTGTCAGAAATCCTGGAATAACAGGAACAGCCCAAGAGACACAGTGTGGCCAGCACATGATGGGTAACAAGAGCCTGTCTTGGTGCTGTGTTGGGACTGTGGCCACAGCCCAGGCCCCTCCATGACCACCCAACAATTACCTCAGGAGCTGCACAGGCTTAACACCAGAAATATTTGCCTTGTTCTTCCAGTCAAGTACAAAATGCAGAGTCAGCAGCTTGAAAGGATCCCTGAGACCACATGGCAGCCAGGAGAACATGACAGAACAGGGCAAGGAGGATCCACTACAGTTTTTGTGTCTTTAATCAACTCCTCACAGTCACAAGTGTCCAAACACAGACCTGTAACACATAATTCTCAGGACAGCACCTACTGCACTTTAAAAGAGTTTCTATTAACTTGATTACTATGAATTATGTGCACTGTGATGGTTATCCTTAAAATCTGAAAGTGGTCACGGACAGAGAGCTATCTGTAAAAACAGAATTCCAAAAGATTTCTGTTACATCTCCAACAGTCATCTTCTGGTGAGCTTGTAGTCAAACTCTGGAGGGAGCAATTTGAAACCAAAGCACTACAGGGGCACCTGTGAGACCCTACATGGACTGAAGAAAATAGGACAATGAAAGTGGCTGGACAGAAGTGACTCTAATTGACTCTATATGTTGAAGTTCATTAGAGGATGACAGCAGAGAACAAAAACCATTTCAAACCTAGTTCCAGCATTGCTGTTTAAGGTACAATGATAAATGCAAAGAGAGGGTGTAACTACTCAGAGCAGGCATGGAGCAATTTCAAAGGGTATAAAAATACACCAACTGCTTGGAGCACACACGTCCTGACACGGTTTTGGTGGAAGAGGGAGACACCAGGAGCGACAAAGGCTTTTAAAGCAGCCGATTTCCCTCCGGTAACTCCAGCCAGGGCCCAGCGAGTGCCGAGAGGAGGGAGCGGGGCCAGCCCCGGACACACGAACCCGCCAGGGGGGAGCGCGGCAGGAAAAGCGCCCGAACGGCGGCCCCGGGACACCCGGCCCGGCCCCGAAGGGTGCGGGCGGCTGTCCTGGCCGCGGCGGCCCCGGTCCCTCGGGGCTGTCCCTGTCCCGGCCCGCCCCGCGGGCACAGGCCCTGCGCGGACTGTCCGCTCCCAGCCGGGGGCCGGGACACACGTCCCGCAGGGCCCAGCCGGCCACGCTCGCCCTCCCGGCCCGGCCCGGGGCTGCTCTCCCTGCTCGGCCCCGAGATGGCCCGGCCGGGCCCGCGGGACCCGCGCACGGAGCGGCTCCGGCTGCGGCTCCACCCCCGCCCCGCCGGGCCCCGCTCGGGGCCGCGCCACCGCCCCCTCCCCGCGGCCGCCGCCCCTCCGGGCACCCCTCGCGCTCCCCCGCCCCGGCTCAGCCCCGCGGGAGCCTCGTCCGGCCCGTCCCTCCCCGGCGCCGCCGCCCGGCCCGGCCCGGCCCCGCTCACCCGCGCCCGTGGTCGCCGCCATCTTGCGCCGCCGCCGCCGGCCCCGCCCCCGCGTGACGTCACCGTAACGCGGGAACTGCGGCGCCGGTAAGCGCGGCGCGGGCAGGCGCGCTAAGGGGAGCACGCGGCGCGACGTCTGCGCGGGCAGTTCTGTGGTGCACGCACAGCGCTTCGGAGCTGTATGACGCGGGCGGGCGCCTCGGGGATTATCGCCCCCCTGCCCCGCCCCGGAACATCCACCCCGGGGTGCGCAAATACCAGCGCGGTGCCGGGCACTTAACACCCGTAACACTCCAGCACAGCTTCCCCCAGCCCGCTTCACTTAGTACATAACATGAAAAAAAAAATTTAAAAGTAGAAAGGAGATGAATTCTGCTTTGCGTTGCAACACGTCTTCCAAAAACTGTGCCCCAAGACTTCGTGTGAAAATTTGCAGAAACGATTACGAAGCAAAACGTGTTGGAGGAGTCATCGCAGTTTAAGCCGTTTCCTGCAGCGAACCTCGCCAGACTCAGCCTGGAGCAGCAGCGAGAGCCGAGGAGCTGCTCCCGTCCATTGTTCCGTGAAGCTGCTTTAGAACGGCGGCGCTGGCCTCGCTGCCTGGGTTGCATTTCATCGAATAACATTTCATTTTACCCACGGCTGAGCGCGGCGCTGGCCGAGGGCAGCAGGAAGGCAGCAGGAGGGCAGCTAGATGGCATGAGAGCCCATCTGAGCTGGATGGGGACAGGGGAGCCCATCTGAGCTGGATGGGGACAGGGGAGCCCATCTGAGCTGGATGGGGACAGGGGAGCCCAGAGCTGGATGGGGACAGGGGAGCCCAGCTGAGCTGGCTAGGGCAAGGGGAATAGTGGACCTGGATAACCAGCTTTGGCACCGAGCAGCCAGAGACCCCTCTTGCTTCAAGAGGTTTGTTTTTTTCTTTTTTAATACGCTGCAGAACAAAACCATGCCAGAAAGAACACTTCTGTCCCTGCACCTGTGGTCTGGAGGCTGCTCAGGGTCCCCTCTTTCCCTGTGTGCCACCACTGCCTCCTGCCTGTTCCCAGCCAATGCCAGCTCCGAGCAGGCTCCGTGTTGGTCCCCAGGATGTCACAGAGGCAGCAGACGGGTCAGGGCTGCAGACAGATGGGTGGGAGAACACGGATAATTAACCCAGCAGCAAAATGGAACACAATGGAAGAAGCTGAAAGCCCTCAGAGACCTGAGCAGTCTGACCTGTGTCCATAAGAAACTCAAAGCAAACACAAACCTTCAGTCTGTCCTGGCTTAAGAAATCCCTGAGTGGGATTTTAAGGCTCTTTGCAGTAATTTTCCTCAGTTTACTGCAGTGCAACATTTCCCCTTGGAGCTGTGTCCCCAAACAGCTCTGTCTATAGGGCCTCTGCAGTGCCATGGATCCACACAGGGAATCTCACCAGCTCCCCGGATCCACATAAGGAATCCCTCCTGCTCCTCCAAGGCCCTGTGTGACCACAAGCACCTGCTCACCGGGGGCAGCTGCAGTCTGGGCAGAGAGCAGGAGCCTGAGCACAGCTTTCTGTGGAGGTGAGACTGAAATGAAAGAGCTTTTAAAAGCATTTAAACTGAAATGCTCTCTGTGGAGTTTAACAGGAGTGCCTTATTCTGCTTCAGCTCTAATCTGTTCCTAATCAACTTAAGACAAATTTATCTTAAGCCAGATTTGCAGCTGTTAAGAAGGATCCACGTAGCCTTTTGCTCCAGAATTGCCATATTGGTTTTGTGGAAGGATCCACATCTTTAAATGGGTGAAACAGGGGACCTGGGAGCTGTGTCAGGAGTGAGGAGTCACGGAGCCAGCTCAGTCTCTGGAGCCCGGCACAGCATCCCATGGAAAACTGCATCCAGAGATTAACTGCTGTCCCAGTTTCTCATAATTAAGCAAGATTAACAGATAAATAGACCCAGCAGCCACCAGCATGAGTAGCTCAGATTTGTTTCCAATAAGGCTCAAGGGGCCAAGAGAGGTTTGGGCAGCTGCCTTTAATGGCACTTTGGACAGACAAATTCTAGTAATTTGTGTGTCCCAAATCCATTCGTTACATCCACTGCACTACTGCTGCTCACTTGCCATTTCTGTCTGCAGTGAAATGAGCTCTCAGAGGACCCAGTGCTTCAGGCTGTTTTACACAGGAGCCCTGAGCATCCACCCAGTTCTGTCCTGGGCTTTCACACTGGTTTAGTTAACTCAAACTGGGGTCGAGGGTGAGGGAAAGGGGAAGAAAGGATGAGGGCAGGAGGGACAGACAACTAAGGACCACAGATCTGTTAGAATAGGGATTACAGGAGTCTCAAGATAGAAGCAGGTATGAATATAAACTTTTGTCAAGATGGTATAAATACCATCCACTGCAGTGCTTTGTACGCACAGCAAGAGATGTTGTTTCTAAGCACTGGGAGTTACTCCTTCGCATCCAAAGCAGAATTAATTACTTGCACTTCTTGAAAGGTGTAGAAGTGTGGTATAACACAGGCTCCTACAACACTGACAAATGTTCACTCCAACCTAAACAGGACATAACAGGCTGACAGGTGTCTCAGGGGGCTGGAACTGCACGAAGTGTTTTGCAGTCAATGACTGAGTTCCTGCACTGAGTACTGACAATGTAGCAATGAAGAACAGCAACAAGACTTAAACATGATTAGTATTATCCAACTGCTTTGTTATAAATATATTATATACATTCAAACATCACATTAAAATATTATTCCATTACACCAGAAGAGATTAAGGCTTTATATTATTTACAGAAACAAGCAAGCACCTTAAAAAAAAAAAAAAGAACAAAACACCAGTCATTGACATTTCCCTTCTAACATTACAAGTTTGATACCTTGAGCTCTTGAATACAGCTATTTGCAGTGTGCCCAATGCTAGAACTAGTTTAAACATTTATTGTCAGGGTAGGAAACACTTAATAGCAGACTCATCATTGAGCACTCCACACGAGCAGGTGTTGTACGGGGTGCCCTCCCTCCTCAGAGGCTCCTTAAATTGAAGGCTTATGTAGAAATGGTTTGCTCAATTCCACGTGGAGAGTAGAACAATTTTATTTTAAGGGAAGCTGAAGACACTTGAGGATTCGTGGCCCACTGGAGGAGCAGGATTCTCAAAGTCTGTTCCACATGACATCAATTGGATTTAACATGATAGTGAAGACAGAGCTGCACGTTGATCAATCACAAAGTGCATTGAACAGTCATGATTTTCTGGGCTCCCCCTGCCCTGACACTGCTCTCATGCAGAGCACTTGGACTCGAACACGGAGTGACAAACCCTTGTCACCACTCTCCCTATAGGACTTAGGCAACAAGCTATTTTGGAAGTGTTAAATAATGTTGATACAACACATGTTTCCTACACCACCACGTACCACTGGAGTGACTGTCCTGCCCTCGGGCTGCCCGACAGCTCACGGACACAGCACGTTCTAATGTGTAAGCAGACATGGCTAAACAAAAAGGTGCTCAGTGAGAGTAATCATCTTCATTTCAAGTATTGTTTTAAGAATTAGTTCTTTTCATTGCAGTCTGTGTTAGCACTTTTTAGTTTGTGCTTTAGAGTCTGTTATTTCTTTGCAGGTCTTGAATTTGGCTGATGGCTTTATTTTTTTTTTTTTTCTTTTAAAAACAACATTGGCAACAAGTTAAGGATTGCAGAAGGCTGGCAAAAGTTATTTGATTTTCTGAGCCCATTTCATGTCATCTGCTCTTGGCTTCTCCCCAGTAAGTCCTTGGATGATGTTCTCCAAACACCTCCAGAATCTTATCTTCTCTAATGGATAGTTCAGCCAACCTAAGGGATTGCAAAGGAAAAAGAGGATTAGTTTGTCATAGCATCCAAAGTTCAACTACTCTAAGACTGCTAATAATGGTCAGGTTTTACTTTCAGGACATAGTAGGACTAAAAAATAGCTCTTTGAGTGGCAAGATTTTTGTCATCATCTGTCAAGTCAGGCTTCTTAATTGTATCATGTTTTTACATGACATTCTGCTAATGAGAACTAGATTTGTTTCTTGGCAGAGGTTTCAAAACCCACATGAACTGTTTGACAAAGTCAATGACAGAATGAAGAACTAGAGTGGTTTATTTTCTGCTGTCTTATTAACCTGATAACTTATTTAGGATTGTGCAACACTGGTCATTGGGCATTCCCATCTGTCCAGTGGGCATAATACTGAACACGGATATAAAAGGAAGTGAAAGGCAGCAAAGCCTGTCCACTCCTCTACCCTGAGTTAGAATGAGTGGATGCTGAAAAGCCAGTGGATGCTGGCTTTAGAACTGAGCATTCCAGACCAGTTGCAGATTAAATGCTCTCCTGAAGGAACAGCAGCTTTAAGACTTTAGTGAACAAAACCCATTACAGGCATGAGCTTACCAAGACTCCACTCCATTGGATCTCAGCACCACTGACTATTCCCTCAGGCTGCAAGTTACCTTTAGCTGATCACAAAACTTCCCCCCCCCATTTTTTATGCAACAAAACCAACTCCAGTTTTACTAAGAGCCCGTGCAGTAAGTCCACAGTTAACTTCATGCCCTTTTCCAGTTCAATAGGCTGCCCCTAAGCTACATCTCGGCAGGTGAACTGCACTCAAGGGAGGCTGCAGCACGACCCCAAGGGCAGTACCAGTGGTGATGCAGAAGTAGGTCTCGTGTGGAGACACGTGATGGATCCTGTGGTGCTTCCTGGGCAGGATAATGTGCCAGTCCTGCAGGAATATGACCCAGCGTGGGAGCCCAAAGTACGTGTGGGACCACTTGTGGATCTGGTTCGTCATGGTGATGAAGATGATGAGCGCGAAGACGTAACACTCCCAGGGACACGTCTCATATAATGCCTCTGCAAAACAAGAGGTGCATCTTTAAACACCGGTTCTGAAAAGGCAAATTTCTACTAGGGCTGGTGCCACAGGAGCTAACAAAGGCCTCAACGAAGCTGCTTTGGCAGAAGTGTCACAAGAGCCAGTGAGCCATAAGCAATTCCCAAATGTCACAAGACAGGCTGGGAAGTGCCAATATCTGTGAATGCACCATAAACAGGAAGTCAAACTGAGTTGACCATCTATAAAATGAATTTAATCCTTTAGTTTTTGACTTCTAGTTTGCACATAAAGTGCTTTCGCACAGAGATGAAGCCTTGTTGTTATGTTATATACTTTAGAACAAAGGTTTCCCTATATGCTCACAGCTTGATCCTTATAAAAAGAATATTTAGCATAACTTCTAATGCTTAGTTGCACAACTCTTCAGCCCCAGTTATCCTCTGTTGAGCTAGAGAACCCCTCTGTGCCACCTTCTGCCACCCTACCTGCAGGAGAAAAAGCTTCCCTCCCTCCTGCCAGGAGCACCATGCTTCCAACAGCTCCTCCTTGTCACGTCACAGTCATGGATTTCTCCTACCTTCACACAGACAAATGTTCATCTAAATAGCAACAATGCTAAATCCACAGAAGTCAGAAGTAACAGCTTACCTGGGGAAAAAGAAACAAATTTGTATGCCATGTTGGCCAGTGGGACCAGTGTCATGAAGCAGTTGTCTCCATTGGTCTCTATGAAATCATGTCTGGTAATGGCTGTGGGGTCAATGTGATGTTCCCTAAAGGGTCGGATGAAAGCCTGGAAAAAACAATGACACCACAGCTCAACACTGGTCTTGGAAAGAAAATATTACCAAAGAAACCCTCCAACAAACCCCAAACCCCCTCTCATACATTCTACTGTGATGACTGAGATTAAGAGAATTCCAGAGTACAAAGCATGTGAGCAGTATCAAACTTTTGTGATGACAACATTTCAGATTATTTGATTTACATTTCAGAAGCAATTCAGCTCCCAAATCCAGGTTTCCACAGTTTTCAGTTTTATTCTTCTTAATTTTCAATTAGAACCTGTAGTCTCTGGATCTCAAAAACAAAGCATCAGCATCCTAATTTCACAGACAAAATAAGCCTGTGAAAATCACAAATATAATTTGTTTAATAAGCAGCATCAACCAAAGAAAAAACACTAAAATATTAAAATTCAACCTATCATTTTTGTATGGGGTACAGATGCCAGCTCTAACAGAATAAATGCAAGTTAAGTGACTGGATAAGGCAATGGAAGTCAAACAGACTACAAAAGTCACCTCTAAGAGCAGAAATCACATCAGAACACACAGTCCTAGAGGAGACAGAGCAATTGCTTTACTGTGTGTGACAGTCAAACCAGTTACTGATTTGCTTTTACCACATCCATCACATATGGCCTGTGCAAAGGTGTCCTGAGCAGCCTGGACTCAGGGTCATTTAGTGCAAAGTCTCCAGCTTTTTTTTTTAATGTAAACTATGGTCCAGAGATGCCAGGATTCAAAGACTACTAAGTCTATTGAAGGTGAACAAAACTAAACCAAACCCAGCAGTCTGAATTCTGCTGTGGTAGTTTATGTATTTCTGAATAATTACAAGGAATAGCCCACATGCTTTTCAAAAAGAAAAAAAAATGATCCTTCTAATATTGCACTGTGAGAAGTAATCAATGGTAACTACTTAGAAATTTGATTAAGAAAACAGATGATTGCTTACAATGGAAGCCAGTGCACCTTCATTTGTAGCTGCAGGTGTATAATATATCTCTAATTAAATCTTCAGTCATCACCATTCTAATATTACTACATCTACAACAGGGGCAGCAGAACAGTGAGCTGCAAAGATTCTTACTGGAGCACCCTCATGTTTCACAAGTTTTTAGGAGTTCAGCTGCAGGGACAATTCTCCACATCTATGGACATTGTTTTTTGAGGATCTACAGTGCCCAAGCCAGGTTCCTCCACTTGTGGTTCCCACAGAACCTCGGGAAGGTCTGCAAACACTGGTATTGCAAAACTGTGTGCGAACCTCAAACAAGGTGATAAAATGGAGCAATGTCACCTTGCACGTGTCACCCAGGCCAGGTGCAAACACAGCCCTGCCCCAGCACTGCCCAGTGCTGTTCCACGGAGGGCTCTGGGGTGTGGAGCTGGTTACACTGGCAGGACTGAAGACAGAGCCTATAACTGCCCAGTTCAGCTGGGAACACTGGAAGTGCTTCAGGAAAGTATTTCATAACTTTTTCAAGCTTAAGAATAACAATCTCAAACCTTTCCAACTATGGGCAGCTCCACAGATCCCCAGGTATCTGCTCCCCAGTGAAATAATCCTGATAAGAAGTCAGCGGTAACAACTCCTGCAACTTCAATGAGGAGAGAGACAGTTAGAGAAACACAGCATTGTTACTGACTTAGTCACATTTTATACTTGTTTTACAAGTTGTTTATCTACCTTTCACTTACATATTTGCATTCATAGGAGATCTACCCAGTCTGAATAAACATAAGGTCAGGCAAGTAAGAAAAAGAGGTTAACAATAGACCACTTGGACAGTAACAATCTTCATTAAATCTATAGCAGGATTTTGTGTTTAGCCCATCCTGTACAGAACAGATGGACCACTCCATGTGGGTACCTTTTCCTTAGCTGATCCCTCACCTCTGCAGTCCTTCTCACCTTTCATTTTCCATCAGGGAGAAGAAATAAATGCACGATTAGTGTGGCACCCGCTACCCAGAAAGCTTTCTTTTCATACCATAAATCAACCCTCACTGCTGAATCCATTATCCAGTTGGCCAGACTCTTAAATACACCAGGAAACACTTCATTCTTTATGTATCTCCTTATTGTACTGGAGACAGCTTATTTTATAAGCAGTAAATTGTGTACATTTGCTTTTGTTTCAGACCACACACGCAAGCTCCAGTGGGACCGGGTGGGACACAATAGCTTTTAGATCTGCTCCCAGCAGCTGAAAGGGCAAGCAGCCTGGGTTCAGGGGAAGATATCCAAACAACACTTCTCTTTGCAACAACTAAAATACCGTTCTCGCTGAGCTAATGTCCCCATTAGCCCTCATGGCCTCCAGCAGCTGCACCATTAGAGTCTGAAACGCCTGCAGGAGCAGCAACAGAAATTGAGGCAAAATACTGAGGGTTCAATAGATGTTTCACATATTGCTTTGATGTCAGCTGGTAGAAACCTAAGAGGGAAGAATGGAGGGTGCCTGGAGCAATGCATTATACTTCAGCAATTGGAAAAAACCTAACTACTAGCAATCTCATTCTAGCTGTGCTGCAGAAGGGCTTGCTCACTCTTCTGCACTTGTGCAGGATGAGTAATAATAGAAGAGCTAAAACTGTACTAAGGTTATACATGACCAGCATCATAACACTTGGGGTGTGTCCTGTCCCCAGGCTCAGAGACCATGATGGAACAGGAGCCTCCTCTGGGTCAGGGCCATGCTGGAGCAGGACCTGGCACTCAGCACAGTCACCACTTGGCCGCAGGACTGGAAGAGCAACTGCCCCAAACACACCATTAACACAAGACAGCTTTGTCTCGCTTGTGTCCTGCTCAGAAACCAGGGAAGCTGTGGGGGTTTGGGCCACAGAAAAGGCCCCGCTCCACCTCTTCCTTGTTTAAGAGTCAAACTCAGACCCAACAACTCGCAGCCTCACCCAAGGGCTGCTCTTGCAGGGAGCACAAACCGCTTCCTGTGGGCTGGCTGGTCCCGGGCCAGCGGGAGGAGCCCCACGAGAGCAGGCACTGCACTATGAGGGCTTCAAGAGACAAAGCTACTTCACGTGTTTACAACAAAAAGATGTACTTTGCCGAAATTTTATGAGCTGAGAGTAAGGCTGGCTTTGCACAGGTATAATTACCAAATTGTAACCTGGAGTTCTTACAGCAGAGCATATAAAGTTTCATATTTACTGTAAAAATTCAGTTAGAGTCTCTGGAGAGGAAAAAAAAAAACTTGATGCTGTTGTGTAACATCATTGAGAAGTATAGTCATTTTTAATCAGTGATTGTATGAATGAGTTGAATGTTACAGCACTAAAGGATCAGAGGAGTAGCTAACTCTACACAGAAAAAAAATCTTGTTTTCTAAAAATCAATATGCTGAAGTGACAGTTGTTTGTCCTTAGCTCAGTTGGTTTAAGCGTGGTGCTAACAAAGCTAAGGCTGTGGGTTTGATCCCTGTATGGGCCATTCACTAAAGAGTTGGACTTGATGATCCTTGTGGGTTCCTTCCAACTCAGAATGCTCTGAACTCTGTGAACACTACATGCTTATAAAAATAAAATGCCTTAGTCATCTGCCTTCCCCACGTAGTGGCTTTCAGTACAGAGAAGGCAGAGGCTTGATACTACGGCAAATTACAAGGCTAAGAAAATAAAATCTGGACATTCCAACAAGCACAAAGTGTAGCAGCTTGAAAGCAGCAGAGTTCATCATTTTGGCTAATAAAGGTGAGAAGAATTCAGTGAGAATGGACCTCACAGTGCAGTAACCAGAGAATGCAGCTGAACTGTGAAATACAAGAAGGGCTCAGATAGCACATGTATTACTATTATTATTATATAGAGTAGTTCTATCCCATTATAGCTGCAGTTTCAAACAAGTCCTCTCCAGAGGCAAGAAAAGTGTGTGCTATGTCACAGGAGCTCCCTTGGCAGGACTGGCACGTTTCTCACGGAGCCTGAGCTTCTCCTTGTGCTGAATCCCTGCTCTGGGAGCTGTGTAATCCTTGTGTCCCAGCAATGCCCCCTGAGAGCAGCACACCCCACACCTCACAGCTCAGCCCTGACTGCAGCAGACCTGACCTGGCCTTGGGGCTGAGCCAGCTTGGACACTACCAGGGAAAGGAGATCCCCAAGGAATTAGGCACAGTCTCCCCTGAGGCTGAACAGCAGTGACTCCTAAAGCAAATACTCATCTACCAAAGCACAGCTTGGCTAAGAATCACTGCCTGATAAACTTAATGATAGGAACAGCCAAATTTTATTCTCATGTCTTTAACCTTAGTGTGTTTGCACGAAGCAAGCTGTTCCTGCTATTTCTCCAGCTGACAGAGGGCTTGTAAAGCACATTTAAATGACAAAGTCCCGATAACTTTACCAAGGCCTCAGGTTCTTAAATAAAAAGTACCACTGTGAGAACTTCTTTTCCCTGTAAATGCATTACTAGAAAAAGCATTTATGTCATCCCAGAAGGTGGTGATTAAAGGTACAGAGAACAATGGATACTAAATGAAAATCAAGAGCAAATTTTCTCCCACTAA